CTTCTCTCTCTCTCTCTCTCTCTCTCTCTTTGTGTCTCTCTCTCCTGGCTTGGTCTTGACACCAAGGTCCAGGCGGAGGCTGCAGGGCTGTTGCTTTGTGTGCACAACACCCTGACCTCCACTCGCTGCAATCGTGGCTCTGAACAGGTGGGGGTGGGGGCTGGGGGGTGGTGAGGGGAAGGAGGGGGCGAAACTCGATGGACGCCAAGGCCTCTGGGCTGGAGGTGAAGTTGGGGGGGGGGTCATGGGAGAAGACCTCGCGCCCAGTGAGCAACCTATACCTCCTTCTGCCCTACTCTCTCGCTCTTCAAATCCAGTTCCTTCTCTCATTTACTCTCTCTCTTTCAATTCTTGGGCAGCGAGCACGTCGCTCGTCCCTGACACCGTCCCCGTCTCTTCCCTCCACCTGCAGAGGGCGGGATGACTCAGAGCTCTCCGCCATATTGCTGTGGAGGTGAGAGCAGGAAATAGAAGTGTAGCAGAAAGGCAGAGGCCTGAATAAACAAACTTGAGTTCCCTTTGCTACGGGACCTTACAGGTCACTGGATTGCATGACACTATCCCGCTGTCACTCGCTCCCAAGGCCTGATGGGAAGACACAGTACAGGTACATGGCTAACAGCCAGAAGATCAACATACGTTCTCATCATCCTTTGCTTTTCAGGGAAGATTTGTCTAAAAAAACCAAAAAAAAAACCTTGTCAGATGCTTCTTACAATGACGGTGAACTCCCCCCTTCTCCTTCCAGCTTGAGATTGACACTGTGTAAGAGGAGACTACTGTGTCAGCCGTGATCAGCGTTCTTAGCGGGCCCCTACCGCCGTTTTGGAGCTCGTCCTGAAGATGAACGGGAGCCGCACTGTCATTTCTCCCATGGGGGGACTGTCCCCTTTGTCCTTTCCCTTCCTGGCACGAGGGGAGCGATCGTGTCTTCCTCTGAGAGGCTGTTGACTGAGGGCAACAGGCTGCGGAGACTCCAAACCTGTTGAGGCAGAGTGTCTCGCAAAGTACCCACGATCAAAGTGACGGATGGAGCAGTGAACGAGGAGATCTCTGTTTGTGGCGCATGGACAGAAATTCAAACACACACGCACGCACTTGAATAATACACAAACGTGGATGCACACATACGACAACTCCAACAGAGGAGGAGTTGAGACTGTGAGGTGGAGGAGAAGCATCAGCTCGGCTCCTCTTTATGGTTTCTGATGTTCCTCTTCTTCTTTGTGCATGTATGAGTGGGTGTGTCAGGTGATACTGGACGTGGGACAGAACAGAAGAGAAAGGCAAGGAGTAGGAAAAAGGGGGTCTGCCCTGGGGTTACACACACACACACACACGCTTGCACGCACACACACACACTTCTCGGGCTGTTGTGGCATGTTTGGAGCAGTGCCTTGTCAGATTAGGGCCATGCTGGCTGTGTTTGATGGCCAACCTGGACAGACAAGGCCTGCCAGGCACAAACTACTCAGGCACATGATGTCAGGGGCGGACACACACACACTCACACATACACAAAAATTATCCCGCGCAAGACCAAAGAGACAGATGACACCCAGCATGAAGCTAAAGCCAAATCTGTAAGCGTCCACTGCGATCCAGCTGGCTAGCCCTAGGGTACCTGTCTCTGTGAAGGGGAATCAGCGTCACCCCCGTGAGCTGTCAAATTAGCTCACAGGGCTGGAAATGCTGAGGAGATTTGGCCCCTCGTCGTGGAGCGGCAAAAAAGAAAAAGTGGGGGGAAGGGAGGGTGGTTTTTGAAA